CAAGCCAATCTTCTCAGCCCCCTGCACAATCGATACAGTAATATCACCTTGATCTTTTATACCAAGAAAACGAAGATTTTTCTGTCGTGAATTTCGCTCACGAGCATTCATGTCAAACTGTAGTTGATCTAGCTGCTGCTCAATTTCTTCCGTTTTTTGTTCGAATAAACTAATTAATGTAACCGAAAAGGATTATACAAAATAAACGACAGTGTCACATTTTTTTTGCAATCTGTGTATTTATACATATGTGCAGAAACAGAGATGTATAGAATAAATACAGCGCGGTAAGTCTTAACTGATTAAGCGTCTACTAGGCTCTTTCGATTAATTCCATTAGTTAAACCATATAAAAGAACGTTGTACAGGGAAGCAGAATACAGAACAAAATTTGAGTAAATTTTTATTGCGTAGTCTGAGGCATCCTTTTATTCAGAACTACAACACTGGAGAACGACATATTACATAATGAGTTTATGGTATGTATTCTTAAGTTTTCCTTTGTATCCTCAGGATGAAGAGTGAAACTTTGATTATTTTAATTTTTCGAGGAACATATCCGAGCATTGACTTTATGTTATAATCAAAGCAGTTGCAAAGTGCACATGTAAGACTAGCTAAAGTTTGGTGTAAGACCAAGAAACGCGCTTTTCTCTGTTCAAATTCAGGTTAAATATTGTCGAGAATTAGCTGCATTGTACCCAGATGAAATTATTAATTTTTCATGTGATAATAAAGCTAAAGTTCATGTTGGTACACTTGCTGTTAGCTGTTACCACTAAATAAGAAAATAGCATTTATTAAAATATGCATCAAATTATAACGATCATGATTTTCCTAATTCAACAAAATTAACACCATCGGTGTATTTGGAAATTAAACATCACCCAAGACGTTGTCGCAGTGAAAATCGTTTGCCAAAAAATCTTCTTATTAAAACAAAACGTTCATGACCCAGTATGAGCGCTTAAACGCGTGTGAGATCAAACGTTCATGATCAGTAGATGGATCTTTATTTTCAAAATTAAAACTCACTACTGTAGTAAGTTAACCTATAAAGTATGTTAGAAAGTTTAAGGAAACATAGTACTTAGCAACAGAAAAAAGTATGGTCGTACAATTACTTGCAGTGAGAGTTTTGTTTTCATTTTGATGATATAACAATAAAAATTTGATGAGATAAGATGAGATGAGAGTGAGTGTCTATGTCAAAATGTAATCGTCCATGTAGTTCCTTTCCCAGTACATGAGTGCTGCGTTTGAATATACATGAGTTGACAATATGTTTCTTTTAATGTAAATTTGGAGAACAGTGAACAGAAAAGAAAACTAAAAGAAGTTGATTGAATAATACAAAATAATATTAAGGTCATCCTCCCGAAGGAAACAATTAAAGCATTTGCTGTTTTTTAGACTAGTACAACAGCACCGTATTTAAACATCAAATACGCTACTCAACATCGGCAAAACCTCACATTCGTCCACATTCAGATACATATTATAGCTCAACTAGTCAGATGCATATTAATCATCTCGAAAATATATTAGATCAAAACCGTTTATCTGGAAAATCAGTTTGCATAATTACATCAGGTAATGGTGCAGATTGGTCACATAAATGTGATGGAAATATGTTTAATTTTGGTACATTATGGGAGGAACTTAATTTAGATATTCTTATTATTATTCATATGCAGCTATATAATCACAAGCGTCAAAAAAAAATCTAGTATCGCCCGATTCATCTAGATTTTTCCCCATTGCAACTACTGTGTAACCATAGTGGAAATCTAGTAATTGAACGATTCCTAGGTTTTTTCTATTTGCAACTATTGATTTATCGCCCGATAATCGATCGATTTAACTATTGCTAGATGCACATGTAGGCGCATCTAGTTAAAAGTCCTTTTTCCAACTAGCAATCTAGATGACAACTAGTCGTGTATCGCCCGATTATAGACGAAATGTATCTAGATTTTTCCCATAGGTGATGTTTGCTTGGGATGATAGTAAATATAATCCTGTTGAAAGAACGTTATCATACTTATCTAAACAAATAACCAGTGCGGTATTAAACCGTAAAATATCAAATAAAACAAGCGAACAAAATAATTTTGATAACGCTGTTACAGTATTATGTTCATATTGGGATAAAAATTTTTATGATTCGTATCAGATATCATGTATACCAGTTATTTCATATTCAATACTACTTTATGGTGGTAATAGTGATAGAATTAATCTATTAAAGACAGAAAAATATAGAAAAAATGCTCAAAATAAAGGTATTCATGGTAAATTTCAATTTTTTATGAAACATTGTCGTCGTAGTACATATTTAGTATTATTTATAAAATGCGATGATCCAAATTGTTACCACTGTTTAATGAGAGCCTGGTTATCCATTTTCGTTTTTGTCGCTGAGGAAAACAAAACGTTGCCGAAAGGGTAGCGTGGGTTTTCTTCGCTTCTTGGAAAACGTTTTGTTTTCCTCAGCGACAAAAACGAAAATAGATAACCAGGCTCTGTTATATTCTGGAAAATAGTGTTGGCTACATTTCAAGATCAACCCGAGATTTTTAGCACGTCAAATAGGAGAGAAATCTGGCACATATACACTGCTGACTTTGATCTCAAAGAAGCAGAATGGAACAGAAAGAGGAAGGTCATCAAGAAATAAAAGTGGTCAAAAGTCCTTGATCTGAAACATGATGACTATCTCAAACAAACAAATCAGATAACAGTAAGAGATGCACTTAAGAAAGAATCCGCAAGAAAACCGACTACATCAGCCGAAGCTAAAATTTGTTTTTTTCCGTTGGTACTCTAGTTCGAAAGAGTTCATCGAAAAACTAAGAAATCCAAGATATCTCGCCTTCGTATGGTACTGTTCATGGATTAGAGGGTCTTAACTTTTCAGTCATCACCAGAAGCTCTATTTGTGGATGAAATCAATGTCTCTTTAATATCTCAGAAACAGCTTGATCCTTGCGGCTGGCTCATATCTTATATGAAAGAGAAATGTTTGGTCTACCAAATCACTGCAAAAAGGTACAGTGAAAAGTAACATCCTGGGCGACCACAAGACAAAAACTGGAAAAATCGCTTTTTCTCAACCATATTTTTTTTAATATTTTGGATCTAGAAATCGCGAGTCCAGCTTGACCAAAAAATAAATTATATTATTTTGTGTGGTTGATAATTCTTCATCGACTGATATGTGAAAGAAAATTTTAAATCAATAGGAGGAGGTTTTTTGGAGAGGTGCAAGTAGAGAGGTGTTGTGCATTTAAGAGACGATTTTCAATAATTCATTATTACTTCAATTTTTCCGTGATTTTCATCGCATTCGATTCGTCTTTACACGGACAAAAAAAGTACACAGACCTTTTCTTAAAATTCCTTTCCACTAGATTCTAGTTTATCATTGTTCACTTTTCAAAAATCATCCACACGTGTGACTAGTTAGAGCTTTTTTAAACACTTGAGAGTTTTTGATGCTCTTAGAAAAATGCTCATAACTTTTGATTAAAATATGGTACAGAGCTCAGCAACGTCTCATTTTGAAGAAAACACTTTTCTGGATACGAATAAGTGTTTGAAAAAGCTCTAACTAGTCACACGTGTGGATGATTTTTGAAAAGTGAACAATGATAAACTAGAATCTCCAGTGGTCAATCTTAAAAAATGCATACCTCAAAAGGAAAGATCACAGACAGCTGAGCGACGTCTTATTTTGTATAGGGCACTTAACTATATACTGTGACATATCTAACTAGAAAAGCGAAAGTCTTAATAGAAAAGAGCGTGAGGAGTACTCTTCAACAGATTCAGTTTTCAATTTTGATCTCAGTTAATGGATGGTAAAAAGAATTTTCTACTGGTATATTAGCTCCAATCAATAAGTCTTTATAGTGGAATTCACATCACTATCAGATGGCTAATCCTTTGCATTTTGAAGCCTACACCTCTGACCGGAACAAAAACAGGGTTAGATTCTAAATTTTTAACGTTATTTTTGATAAGCCAGAAACACAACACTTTAAGACAACAAAAGATATTTTCTCTATCAAACTTGAGCAGCCTTCTGTATTAATTATTGTTATATGTAGTGATGTTCAAAGATATCTACTCTTTCGCATGGCGTTCGAACTGGCTCTCTAGCATCAATAGTAAAAGAGATACATTGAAAACAAAACTCGCGCTTTATTTTTCTCCATCTCGGTATATTCATGTATTGTACACACTGATCATTTTGACTGGAGAAGTTCTATAGCATAGAACGAAACATCTCAAATAAATAAAGTTATTATTTTATACTTATGCTTAAAAGAGTGACTTTAGTCTTATTATTCTTATGTTATCACTGTAACTGTACATAACTCTAGGGAAATATTGTAGAGTGAGTTAGTATCCTGCGATTTGCATACATTTTAAGAACAGAGACATCCTTAAAATGTATGCAAATCGTACAACACGAATCAATCACTCTAGAATATTTTCATACAGTTATAACAATTTTACAGCTACACAGTTATGACAGTCACAGTTTTACAGTTAACTGTAACTGGTGCATGCCTACAGTCAACGTATACCGCTGGGGTAATTATGATCATCACAGCCAAAATGGCTGGAATGAACTTAAACAACTTCGTTTCAACGGATAGTTTTAAGCAAACAAACTAAAAATTAGTTCATTTTCTAGAGAATTTGCTTTATTTATCATGTGAATTGCACATCGTTTGGACTTAACCTAAATTAATTAATGAGAAATTACGAAAATTGAGAGAGATAGTCATTTTTTCTATATATACGCTTTGAGGTAATTATGATCACTCTGCTACACTGTAAACTTGAAAATAAGTTATACAAATAAAAAATGATTTTCAGTTTGTCCATATACCAATTCAGCAGTGATAAAGGAATATGTTCATGAATATATCGCTCTGTTTATTACTTTCATTCTGCTTTTGAACTAAGAAAACGAACTACTCTGTAAGTCTTTTAAAGAAGAATAGGGCAGATTAAGGGATTAATCAGCTAAGCTTTCTTTTTCGCTTCCTTTGGCGAAAATGTTTTTCTGGTAAGGGATAGACTGTTAATATATGGGGTTACCGTTGAATTACTAGAGGGCGACAAATTTTAACAATTTAATAATCACCAATAGAAGACCAAGTTTTAGAATCCGACTTGCCGGACAAAATAGAAGACCAGCTGGTCTTGATGGGGCAGGATGTTTCATTCTGCAGCAAACGCCTGAAGAAAACATAACTTTACTAGAGAGAACATGTGAGATCCTCTATGAAAATAATGACAAAAAATATACCATTATGTTTACGTCAACGATTATAAATATGGAAGAAATATTAGCTGTGGATACATTCGTGATACCGTAGAATATGTATAAAAGATTTGTAAGAATTTCAGTAAGTTTAGAGGCAGAACGGCTTCAGGCTATTAATTGCACGTGTTTTGGCCTATTAGGCAAAACCTCCTTATTATCATAAGGATTATAACAGTTGCTTATATACAGAGTAAAAGAAAAAGGGGTTTGAAAATAGAAAAAAAGCATTCAGTTATCTCATACATGGTAGCGTTATTGAAAAGCGCGAAACACACATAACAACTACAAAAAAGTGGCAATATACAAACACAAAAGCAAACTATGAATCACATACGTATGAGAATGTTAAACAAGGAAATAGCCGTTGATGAATTAACAGGAAAAACACATATTTTCATGTTTAGAAACTTTTCTTGACATTATCATTAATTTCTGTCTAATCTTCAGTTGTTGTTGGTGTAGGTGAATGAACCAGCATTCCCCTGTTCTAAATGAGTTGTTTGCATGATTTTTCAGTTCTTTAATATTCAGACTGAGATGTGGCTAAGAATCCTTGTTTTAAAAGGGGCATCTTCATCTAGAAATGTATAACAACAACAACAGATTTCAAAGATTGATAAGCTGCTGTCTTAACACGGTTCGTAAGATTTTACAGCTTTCCTTGCCAATAAAACATTTTTACGGACTTATCAGCATTTTCCGAAGCTCTAGCCTCAGCATCATCATGAAATACAAAAGCACATTCTTTTCGCTCGTCAAGTGGCAGTGAAAATGAACTTTTCAGCGATCTATGTAAGAGAAATAGAGTTCTTAGTTAATATTTAACTGATTGATCTTTCCCACATCGTCAGTCATCGTTTGCAAAGAATGAATGCCATTTCCAGATGTTCCCACTGAATAATCGACGACGGCATCAAATTCTTAAATATGTTTGTAAAAGACGAAATTGATTTGAGTTTGTTTACTAGCAACTGACTTATCTTTATTCATTTCTTGTTCTTCTTCACAAATCCATTGTAAATACGATTTACGTGCAACTTGTTGAATTAATTCATTTTATGTTGCTTATTTTGTTATGAAGCATCGCTTGTTCAATATGACTTTCTTCAGATTAACGCAGAGCATTTTGAAAAAGAAAATCAATTTTATTTATTTTCTTATTTCCATTAAATCTCGTGGCATTTCTAATCCTAGTGCAGTGGATGCGCAGTACGAACTGTTTCTAACTTGATTACTTCGTTTACCTACACGTCTTTGCTTGAAGATGAGCAAGAAAGATATAGCGAACAAGCCGGAAAAAGTATTTATCTCACTTTTCCTAATCGAAAAGTGAACGGCTGAAGGCTACCTTTTTTGTCTGAAATTCAATTCACTTTGTTGCAGATGATTGAACGAAGAATGGCCGTGCCGGCACGAACTCAAATATTGTAGAAACATTATATTAGTGTAAGTAACATCTGGCTGAATCTAAATACTTTGTTTTACTCCAGTAGCTAATGTTTAGTGTAAATGCTAACAGGTACATTTTTCTTTTTGTTGACGTGACAAAGTTTTACTTGCATGGCGAAATCAAATGGTATGCTTAAATCCATTGAATGGAATAACTTTCATCCTCTCTATGCCACAGAGCCGTTTGATAAGGTATGTAGTTCATCGGAAAATCTTGGAAGGTAAGACGGGTACTAATAAATATGACTTGTACCTGGTATCTGCGCAAAAATGTTGTTTATATAGATGCTTCAGCAAAGATCAAGTAGGAAAAAGAATGTTTGTTTGTTGTTTGTTGTTTACGTAATATTGAAGGACTTTTCTAATTGAGAAAGCACCATTTCGACATGTGTTACGCTTGCAACTTCCCCAAGGTAGAGACGAATAACGAACGATAAACTTTTGTGATCTAACAGCAGCTAGGAAGACTGAAAAAGAGATCTGCTATCTTCGAAGATCTAACTATCAGTGTCCAGGCATTTGAATGACGTGATTATAGTTCCATTATGTTTTTCAATGTACAGAGATACACACGTTTAATTCTTTTAATTTTTACACTTACTAGTAGTCTATGTCGATGACCTGGTCAACACATCAATATTTTCATCATTACGTGGTAC